AATTCCACTTACCAAAGAGAAAAAAAAGTTTTATATCCGTTATTCCACACCAATCACTCAATCACAAATTGATTTTACAATTTTTCTTTTAATTAATCAATTCATGAATAGCTCCATTTGATTTATTTTGCATAAATTAATTTAGAAAAAGGAAGATTTCAAAAGAGGTAAGACACGGCATCAAATATTTATTCTTTCAAGTTAGCTTTAAGTTTAGGTCTTTCTTTTAAGTTTTTTTCATTTCTTTTTTCTTTAAGTTTAAGTTTGTTGAAACCTGCTTTTTACCTTGAATTTTATTAAAACCATTTGAAAAACTTAAACCGAAGCTATTAATGAATCAATGATTTTCACTAGTGACTCCCTTTTATTTCGATATTCCATTACTTAGTACATGGTATCGATAGGACTGTCGGGAAACCTGGAACCACTTTCCACATTTTAGCGGTGACTCAGCTTTGACATTGATTGGCAACATTTTGAATTTTCCCTCCCCTTTTGCTCATTCATACTAGCCGTCTATACAGTAATAGATCAATAGATAAAGGATCATTGTGACAGTGCCTACATTCATCCGATTATTTCCCCCTACTAATTGACTTCTCTTTGATTATTGTTCTGAATATTTTATTGGCTAATAAATTGTTTTGCGAATTCGCTACTTCAGTTGCAATTCAAGGTTCACTTTACTTTAAAAGCAATACTTCACCGAAGTAAGTCTTTCTCTTTGCAATGATATTTCGATTCAGTTTTCCTTGGGATTCCATTACGACAAAACTTTCGCAACAGGGACAGCTTTGGCTTGCTTTAAGGTTTACTTTGTAAAAAGTAGTTTCAAAAAAATTTAAGTTTCGAATTTCTTTGAAATTCCATATTAAACCACAAAGGTCAATTTTACTTCATGCTCTATTGCTGTGGAGTTTAGAAAAAAGAAATCTGTGGATCAGAAGATCTTTCCGCATAATTAAAATTATCATAGCGTCATCAATGAATTTTAGAACACCTTTATTGTTATTGGCTATCTCTGTACACTTTTCTTCTTCCCGTTTTCTTTTCTGCGGGGCCGTGATGTTTTGGATGTATTCTAATCATTCCTCATTGACCGATTCGAGAAGGCCAATGTTCATCTCGAGACGTATCATCTCCCTGACAATTCTTGTTTTGACTTCTAATGTTGACATAATTCTTCTCTTACTTATTCTCTGTGACAAAACTATTTGCTACTAGCAAAGTATTTTTGGCTCCAATGAGAAAAACGAGAAGACGATAAACTTCCAACATGAAGCATTTAAACAATATTGAATCTTTTCAAACACTGGATCATTTTTTTTTAAACAAAAAGTAAATGAGTAAATAAATAAACAAACACATAGTTTTGTTGACATCATATTCTATAACCTTTCCCTAAACAAATCGATTAAAAAGCACAGATGGGATTTCAACAGAAACAAAAACTAAAACTAAATTAGAAAGGAAAATTCAGGATTCCATGAAAAATTTGTGGTCATATAAATGTATCATTTGGATTTAAGAAGAAAAAGAGTGCCAGAAAGGATTACAAACCAAACAATACATTTCAATTTTCGATGTCCTCATGTGTTATCTCCACATAACAATTGTCAGGAAGAGAATTTTTCGGTGATATTTGCCCGCTCACTGTTTTTTTTTGTGTTGGAATTTCGTTTTACTCCTATTTATTGTCATCTATCCTAGCCTCAGCGATGACAACAGTAGTTCCATTTGAATTTTGAAGTGCTATGCAGAAGCTCATTTTGCAGTTTTGCCAAAGACATTAAATGTATAGCTGAAGTTTTGTTAGCTAAGTTTTACCAGTGTGGTTTCCTTTTTAACTAACATGTTGAATCATTGCTGAGATCATGTTGTGGCTTAAAGAAAATGATATGGCAATGCGATTAAAGATGTAAATTAAAATAGTAATTGTTTCATTTTTCTAAATCAAGATTTTTAATCACAGAAATCCACTGTCGAAAACACAACAGTCAACCTTGCATATGTTTATTTTTTTCTTTTCGATGTAATTTCAAACCACAGAATGAGTGATCTTCTTCGGAGATCCGGTGCTGTTGGCACACATTTTATTCCAGTCTGCAGCAAATTTCAACTTTTATACTGCATTTCCCGGAATTTATTGAGAACTTTTCCGAAATGAAGAGATGAAGATCAAAAAACTTGACATTTCATAGTTAGTAATTGAAGAATACCGGAAACATCGATGTTTTATATGTAATCATCGATGAGATATGAAAGAAGATATTTTTCTATGATTTGGATTTTGGTAGGAAATATGAAAATTATACTTTAACTCATCCTTAAAAAATATTACTCTCTTATTCGGTATCAAATTGAACAACTGGATCATGACAAAAGGTTGCATATAACCGTTTTGGTTATTGAACGGGTAGAAGCAATAAGGATATCCAAATTTTGGGTATTGTACTATCGTTACGTTTATATTCTCTCCCTTAAAATGAAAAAATTGAAATAAATTGAAAACTGACCGATAGGCGTACTCGTGGTCGTTCTTCTATGCATACCTATACGAGAGCCATGATGAAACTTGCATTTATTTGTCACCTTTTTTGATATTCCGTTAAACTTTACTATCAGATATTGTTCTCGTGCTAAAGGTCACGTCTAATTACAGAGTTGCTATTGCAGTTAGTTATTAGTTAAAAACCACAACAATTTATAAGGGTATTGACAACGACATAAGCAATGACGTCAAACTCTGCAAGGCATACAAAAGTAAGCTTGTGAGGTGACACTTCATTATGTGATGAAGTGATAAAGCGGAGTAGTTGGAATGGTTGGAATTTAAAGTTTAATCAGCATCATTAAAAGTGGTACCATGATAGAGCACTGAAAAAACATTCGGTCATCATTGCAGCAAACTGTTGCATTCGGTACTTGACCGCATATTTTATTTGTTTCAAAATTTAGCGAACTGTTAGTAAACAGGTCATATATTGGACGTTCTGGGTAATATCCAAATAACTAAATTACGAACAGTTGAATACTAAAGATCTAGATAGTAGATTACTTTTTGCACAATACAGAACTTTTTATTTTTGCATCATAAAGAAATGCGGTTGTCATTAGACTCAGAATACAAAGTTACAAGATAAAATAAAGCTTCCGTTCTAGTGAAAAATTCTGGTAGCAGGTTGTTTCATGGATTTTCAGTCTTAAATTCTAATTTTCTCTTAAATGAAAAACTCCATCAATTGGTGATCAAACTAACATCCTATGAATAAAACGGTACATAATTTTGTTCTTTAAACAGTTGTTTTATTGGAGTAGTTCTCTACCAATAAAAATTAGAAAAACGTGCCTTATTTATACGTAGCATAACACAAGGTGTACCAATATCGTATCCAAATTTAGTGTTTCTAAAAAAACTGTTAAAGTTATCAAATCAAACAGAAAGGAATCTTATTCTCTTCAAAATGATTGGTAATTTTGGCACGATAGCTATGTTTTAAGATGGCATACACGAATATCACCCAAACATATCACTTCAAAATTATCATCTAAAATCAGACTTGCAATAGACTGATTATCCAAAGTCAGTTGGTTATATGGTTTCATTTTACTGCTTGGGAGTTTCTGAGATATTTATTTCACCATCCTTCAACACTGCTTAAAATATGCCAGATAGAAACGTCTAATTTATGAAAATTACTAAATAAATCATCGCATGATTCAAACTTTCAGTCTGATGCCGTCTTTTCTCGCACAAATACAAAGAGATTTAAATTTAATACGACACTGATCTAATATAATTGAAAAATAGAAAACTTTCTTGTTTAAAGCACAAGCACCGTAACCGTAATTCTCATCTGCGTTGGCTGCATCTGTTTTGCAAAAATGTTTTACTGGCTTTCCACCCACGTATGGCACAACTGTTTTCTTGCAATCTATTTTGAATTTGTTGGGGATCATTTCCATTTTTGCATATTCTAAATTTTGATAGATAATAGGGAGAGCATGAAAACACTTTAAATTCATTTAACGCAATGATTTACCATACAGAATTCTCCGCAACCTTCGTTCATAGAAAGCATACGATGAGGGATCATTAGTATTCCATTTGAAAACATTTTGTTCTTTTTCATGCTCCGCTTTCGGGGTTCAAAGCCAATGCCTGAGTAAAGTATTGATTTAAAAATACAACACACATTTGGAGTTAAAACATAATTAGTAACAACAGCAATCATAACTCCAATTCATCATTATAAACTAGCACTCTACATGCAATTCTACAAATTTTAATGGTTTCGAAATCATCTAGAAGTCTTTTAAAAAAATCATTGATAATAATACCTGGCACACCACCAATGAAAGTAGTCTCGCCATAGTACACTGGTGCATCTCGGGTGGTGTATAACATTATATATATGCCCCCTGTCACCAGTAACGCAAGAAAAATGTATATGCATAGCAAATATAAGATCGTAATAACTGAATTACTATTCAGTTATTTTTATTCAGTTTTTTTATTTTTATTATTCAATTATTATTCAGTTTTTTCTCGTTATCATGATCATTATTGTTGTCATCCTTATAGCTGTAGCTATCATTACGAAAAATCCCAATTTACCAGCTTTCAACTTATCTCGCTCTATTCCGTTATATCATCTCATGTATTTTTTAAAAATTGCGCAAAATTAATCAGTCGACAACTTCATAAGTTATTAGTTTAATCATTATGACGTACTCCATGCGCTTATTGTACGATTACATACATAACCATCATGATAGATGAATTCCATAATAGATCTCATAAAATTTTTTCTTTCTCGTCCATTATTTTCATGTTCAATGTGCGAATCGTGTGATAATTCCGCTGATCTGAATGAACTGAGGCTAATTAGTTGGAGCTAGTATGCTACTACGAAACGTATGAGTGATCTACTTTTCAGCACTAAATCGCTAACAACCGAAAAAAAAAATGTCAGTTTGAAGCTAGCAATTTAACCGTAACGCTTACAGCAGCTATGCCTTTATCTGGATGGTGTTTGTGTCACAGAGTAAACTGAACTGAGGCCATCCTTTTCATCAAATAAATTTATTTACATTTTGAACAAATTGACTAAAAAATATAATAATAAAGTGTAATACACGTCAACAGCTGCGGCACCGTTGGCACTGACCACAGCAGTGCTTGGCGTTTTCTTCTTTGCATTAGCTCTCTTTTCGGCCTTCTTTTCTGAAGTTGGTATTTGCTGCTGCATTTCTCTTTCATCATTACTGCCATTCTTTCGAAACTTTTCTTCAGTTCCAACCTCTCTGTCTGAAAAAATAAAACTAATGTAAAAAGGAAAAGGATTTGGTACAAAAAGAATAATTGGTCAGATTTCAGTTCATCAGCTTTGGCAATTAACTAGTTAATCATAATGGTGGAAGGATTATTTCAGTTTACACCTTTTTCTCTTTTTTTCAACATAGCCTCTCTCTCAGATTCGCCTTTCGCAGACAATCTCGCCATCTATACAATGAGTAAAAGATGAAAATGTCTGGAATGACCGATTTACCTCTCCTTCATGGATTTATATTTGTGGTAAGTTATTTGCATGTTACTTTATTTATTAATCGGAAAATTCGTATTCACTTATAGCTGTTTTAGGACGATGTATTAAAGGTATTCCGGGAAGTTTCAGGACAACCCTAACACCTCTTGTACATCTAAAGCATCTGCTCATTTAATGAATTATTTTGCAGTGATAATATTATAGTGCCTCAGTGCTTTTCACATGAATACCGCAGACAGACCTCAGACGTACTAAGTCCTTTTTCCAGTGCTGCACTCCCCAAGAGGCCCCGTTCACCCGATTGCCTACCACCTTGGAACCCCGCTAAGCGCCTTCAATTTCGTGATATTGGGCTGTTATCTGCTTAATTATTCATGATCCTTTTGGCACGATAACGGTTAATGGTCATGGATCGATGGTGGCTTCAACTAGTATTGCTATTGCCGTTCCACGGTTAGCCTCTAGGGTGTGGTGGGGCGGGGTCCTCGGTGTTAGAGAAGCAGTCGAGTTGCCATGTTTTAGCTTTAAATGTTATATGAGGAGAGGTTTGGTATTCTCCCATTCCTGTGCTTCATAATATTTTGTTTGTTTTCGCAGTTATTGAAGACAGGAATTATTTTTCTTTTTAATGACAGTTTGCGAACTAATTTATACGGGAAATCATGAAGAGGACAAAAGTGTTCGTACAAGTCGAGCGCTGTTTCCAAAAAGATAAGAAAACTGTTAAAATCAGTCTGTTTTACAGAAGATTGTTAGTTATTAGTGCGAATGTCATACGCGTATCTCTTCAAATATATTATAATAGGAGACACAGGTATGGCCTTTTTTCCAACCATTTTTCTCATATTTATTTGGATTTCCGTATTTTGGGATTCTATCCTGAAGAGACCGATTTCTGTTTTGCGTTTCAGGAGTGGGGAAGTCATGTCTCCTGCTTCAGTTCACCGACAAGCGCTTCCAACCTGTACATGACTTGACGATCGGTATGTCATTTGAAATTAATTTGAATATTTGTCATATCTATTGCTTGTCAGTTATCTAGTCTGATGATAGCTATCACCATATGTCAAACGATACTAAAGTGAGCATATGTATTCTTTCAGTGGTTGTATATTTTAGTCCATTATGGCCGGTAGCATGGGTATGGTCATTCATATAGTTATTGCACCATACAGCACAATACAGTGCTTAAGAGATATTATTTTTTGAAAGGCAACCATTGTTTCGCTTTTAATTTTCTAAGACTCTTATTGGTCATAGTTAATCCGAAATCAAAATTCCAGGTGTAGAGTTTGGCGCTCGAATGATTACCATCGATAGCAAACAAATTAAGCTACAGATTTGGGACACAGCTGGTATGTTTATTGCCCTAATTTTTTCCCTTATTTTATTTGAAATTACAAGCCTTTGAACAGTCCATCTGGGTAGTTGCGAATTTTTAATGATTTCCAGGTCAGGAATCTTTCCGTTCAATAACGCGCTCATATTATCGTGGAGCAGCAGGCGCACTTCTTGTTTATGATATAACACGGTAATGGTTTGGTATGATCAAATTCAGTCACATTATAGCCCATTTTGTTTTTTGATGGAAGCTGTTAAAATATATGATGCTTTTTAGGCGTGATACATTCAACCATCTGGCTTCTTGGTTAGAGGACGCACGGCAGCATTCAAATTCTAATATGGTTATTATGCTTATCGGGAATAAAAGGTTGTATTCGAATTTCAAACTGATTTTAATTCACTGGAAGGTTTACTGATATTGCCAAAAACGATACGTTCAGTCATTAATGCAGCTTCTTCCTCGTTGATAGCAAGAATGCTTGCTAAGCATTACCGTACATACTTTTTACGAAAAAGGTTTCATGCCAACATATAATGCTGTAATTTGGATGGCTTAGTTTGCGAAAAGGCAGTAGTGTTTTGTTAACGAAACTGGAGCTTCTTGAATGTTTATATAGCGTAATATGCCACTGCAGTGAAGTCGCAATTGAGATTGAGCGAAGATTTTAAATTAAGCAGTGAAGAAAACTTCGTTGGAATTCCGTTGATACAAAATATAAACCGCAATTATTCAGTTTGAAATTCCCTTATTGTTTGCATATTACCACTATCGCCATTTCGTTTTCTTTTTTTCTGATTCAAAACAGAAGCACTTCTGTTTGTTTCTTATTATTCTATATAACCAAAAGAGAGTAAATGTGCTCTTCCAATCTTTTTGAAAAATGATTCATATTGTTTCGATAAATAACTTTGCAGTGATTTGGAAGCGCGACGGGAGGTGAAAAAGGAAGAGGGGGAGGCATTTGCACGTGAGCATGGTCTGATTTTCATGGAAACATCTGCAAAAACTGCAGCAAACGTGGAAGAGGTCGCATATTTTTGTTGTATACCTTCATATCTTAAACATAGTTATTTGGAAGATGTTTTAGTTATTTAATTTCAGAAATTGTTTAGGATTCTCACTTTCAGGCATTCATTGATACTGCTAAAGAAATTTATCGGAAAATACAGGAAGGCGTTTTCGATATCAATAATGAAGTGCGTTTTAAGAACTTTGAAAGTTTTTAACACTATGATAATACGATAGCTCACCATGATTGTCCAGCAGTATAGTAAAATACATTTCGTCATGCGATTGCGTGAAATATTTTTTTCGAAGCTTAGTTACAGTTATAACTAGCGGTAATTAGGCGAAAGTTGTTAAATTCTTTCCTTTATTTATCCAGAATTAAGTTGTCGATCTTTAACTCACAGTTCTTGATTTAAAAGAACTGATTTAAAAGATGTACTGCTGGCAGATAGATGGTATTACATAATTCATGAATAATTCTCGTTCGAAATTCTCAGCTTCTCCCTTTTGTCTGCAGTGCTAGATGTTCATTTCTATACTCCATGGCTAGTGTGTTCATATTTTTTCTTGGTGTTACAGGCAAACGGTATCAAACTTGGACCACAGCATTCTCCAAGTTCACCCAATTCTCCTAGTGGTAATCAGGCACTAGGAGGTCCGAACGGTTGCTGCTGAAATCTAATCGGGCAGACTCCATTATATGTTGTGTAATCCTTCTATATGAATCAAAAAGAAATGTCCAATGAAATTTAAGTTTCTAGTCAATCTTATTTGCTTGAATGTTGATTTCAAAATATTTTCCCAAAAAGGTTGTTATATTTAGTCAAACATATTATCCTTGAAATGTTTTCTAAAATGAAATTCTATCGCCGTTCTGGGAGCACAAAGACTTTGATCCGTGTTGTGTAGTTGGGTTGCACACTTGCATTTCTTGCTTTTTCTACGTTTATGTACATAATTTAGTGATCCTGTGAAGTGAGTTTTGATTTTAAACTAAACCAATTCAATTTACCCTTCATTGTGTTAAAGCAACTTTCACTAAGGCAGAATATTTTTACTGTCATACTATCATAAATTCAGCATGTTCTTTGGTGTATATCGTTTCTGTTTTCTTGCTATTAGTTGTTGATGTTTTCTTCCTGACTTAATGAGCAGAATGGTTCTCTTTTTCCATTCGCCAGAATTTTAATTTGAATTTACCATTCAAACTTCTCTCATGATATTCGTGTTCTTCCTTGTTTTAGTTTTTTTCTTTAAATCGAAATGTCCATTTTATTTTAGAGTCCAATTCTTTCTTTCTGATTATATATGTGTTCTTTTCGTTTTTGTTCTTTCTAGTGCTCTTCTATATGTGTATAAAATGAATTTTTCAATTTGATGTGGACTTTTCATCCTCAGTACCGGATCCTTTTTCAGCACTGGTTTTTAATGTTGTTGAGTTTCCAGCGCACCCAAACAAGCAGAGTTTGGGAAATTAATGTGTTTTTTGTGTTTTTCAGCATTGAATGAATTAACAAGTATCAATAACCTACTGGCAAACAAGGATGCTTCGTTGCTAGCAGTAGTAAGATTTCGTTGAGCATTTTGTAAGGTTGGAATTTTGCAAAAGGAATTTGGGTATAATGAATCATCACTGATATAGTTTAATGGATTACAGCGACAGGTAAAGTGCTCGGCAGAACTTCCACCATCAGAAAGAATCCATTTTATTTCTTCTCACGGTTCAACATTGGTAGGATTCATTTATTCGCTTTTTAACAAATTATAAAACGGCAATGAAATACTGCAAATGTAAATTTCGAAGAGCCGAACGGTTTTTAGACTCTTGGTTGTAAAGCATGTGAAGTATGTAAGCACTTTCCATTATTTATTAGATGCATTGTTTATTACGTAAAATGGATCGAATAATGGAGGCGAAACAGTGAGTTTAACTTCTTTGCTATTCTGTTGGGCTGTTATTCACATCATTTTTATATCGTTTTTTGTTTTGTAATCCTTCCGGCAACAAAAACTGTATTTTTAACAATGCGACCGATTTTCGAAAGAAATGAAATTTACATTTTGTCGCTGTTTAGTTTTTTTAAGGGATGAAATTGAGTTCGTAAAATTCGTTAAGATACTGAATGAACATGACAAGTTGTCAACAACTCCCGATCCTACCCGTTTATATTTTCTGTGACAAGGAGACCAGATACGAGTGTAATTTCTCCTTAGATCTGAAGAGACATGAAATAATCCTCCAAATCATTCAAAGTAAAAGGTTAATAAGTGCATTGGACATCCGTTTGATTAAAATTTACGCCACTTTCTATTGGCATTAATTTTAGTGCTAATTTTTGAAAATCTTCAATTTATAAAATATCGTTAAACGTTACACTTCTAGCTCCTCTTGGTCACCGCAACAAAAAAGTACAACTGATGTTTTCGGAATCTTGGGTGGAATTTTTGATCTCGCAAAATTCCAATGTTTCAAATCCTAAAGGTCACTTATCCTTTTATATCTTCCAGATCGCCATCTGTATAATCCAACCGATTTCCTAAAAAATGTGGCAGTGGTGATGTTGAATTATTGAAACCATGCTTTGATATCTGTTAAAAACTTTTTTCATTTTGAAACTTGAAGGTAAGGTTTAGGCATCCAGCATTTAAAAACTTATAATCTTCGTAACTTCTCATTACTTATTTGTCATCATCACAACGACCTAGACCTACCTTACAACTGTCAAACTCTTAAACTGGATTTTCATAATAAATGAGATGTTGTTTACATAAATGCACATACATATAGCAGCTGGACCAATGCTCTGACTAGTGATAATGAGTTTACTAGAAGGAATAGTTATATAATTGATAGATTCCCAGAGGTATATTTTCATGCTATGTCTGACATGCAAAAAGAGACATACAATGCTAAATATCCAATAATTCTGCTAATTTAATATAGTCTTAAAATAATTACTCTCTTCCAAACTTCAAAGATTTCTTTCTAATGAGAGGAAATTAAATCCATCTAAACCAATACAACATAAGATTACGATCTTACAAATATCGTACATCGCACTGACACAATAAGTAGTTGGTACATTTCCTTCGGTTTTCTGTAACTTAAAATAGCAACATTTTCTACACTTCTCATCTACCACTTTGTAAATTTCAATTTTAACACCTCAACTTTAATTAATTCCATCAAATTTTTACATTCAAGAGAAGGAAAAAATTCTTCAAAAAGAAAAACATGGGATTTCAAAGAATGTTCTTTGATCTATTAAATTAGGTCCCTTTGCATTTTTGGGTGTAATTGATGTTATGGACAGAAAAAGCGTGTTTAACCAACAAATGTTAGTCACGAGATGGGTTGGTTGTCTGTTCAACAACGCACACTTAATTTTACCCCATGTGATTTCCTGCTTTATGCAGTAATGTGTAAACTGTTGAAAAAAAGGATTATTACAATTTATTCCTGATATTTTAAAAGGAATTTTACTAAATTCAATCTTTCCATTCACATTTTTATGTTTTTTACTTCTCAAAACTCATATCATTCTTTAGTTGGAAAGACAATCATGAGAAATTAATAATACCATTTGTGGAATTATTGAATTATCAGTGTAACGTTACTCCATTTCTCCATCCTTATTATATTCATTAATTAATCCGAATCAGATTTTCTGATGTATTTGACCGGCTTAGATATTCTTTATGATTTAAGAATAACGAAAGCATCTCAACTAGTGGCTAAATGAATTCAAGCTAAATGATACAAAAAATCCTTTCCTATTTGAATCATCTATATGTAAAATTCACATTATCTTAAATTAAAGCAAATATCGTTTCCTTTGTTTAGATCATCACTCAATCATTCGTTTCAAAACAAAAACATTTTCACTAGGATACTAAGATGAAAACAAGGCTTCATTTTTACTGGGACATTAGGATGAAAACAAAAGCTTCATCTTTACACCAGGATGAAGCAAGAAATTCCTCTTCACTAGGACATTAGGATAAAACAACACTGGGACACTAGGATTTTGTTTTGCTCTTAAAAGTTGGGAAGTGTAAAGATGAAATACACTGACATAAGCTGTGAGAAGAGTTTTTCAGTTTTCTATTACTCCAATCAGATGTTTGTTATGATCTGTAGAACTTAATTAATCTGCATATAATTCTCTTTTTATCTCACTAAAAAAAAAAACTGACTTATTCAGATTGGTTCAGGTTTGATTGTGGTATCGAATTTAATTATCATTCCTCGATCGAACATGTTTTCATCATTCTATCGAGTTTTATGTCAGACTGGTGATAAGGTTAAAAACAAGATTTAATTATTTACAATAAATGATACATATGATAAACTCATTTATTCAATGGATCAATGGAAGTGCAAAGAATATTTTGTGTATTTCATTGTAAAAATTCTTAAAGACTGATAATTCAATTTGTAAAAAGAGTGGGATTAAATTCACTCCACATATGAATATGAATTGTAATGAAATGATTTAACAAAGTCCATCATGATTTTCAATCAAAAATTACAAATTATTTGTTACCATAAAGTGGCCTCAAGAAATGACAATATTTTCTACAACTTTTTCCTCAATTACTAATGATTTTTCCTTTTTTTTTTTTGTTTTAAACTGTTTTCTTCTTCATTCTTAGACTGCTTCAGTTTCTCTCCTTAGATGAAGTTAGCTGACCTTGTATCAACAAGTGGGAAATATTTACTATCAGTTTAATTATTTATTTTAATTTAATTATTTATCAATCATTTATGCAAAACGGTCGAACTTTTGCAGATAGTTTATCCGCGGTTGCCATCATTTGCTAAAGAATTCTGGAATCATGAAGCAGGTCCTAAAACGATATTTTTTTGGGCACCAACCTTTAAATGGTGTTTGGTGCTAGCTGGATTGGCTGATTTACAAAGGCCTGCCGAGAAACTTAGCATTTATCAGGTTTATTCTTTGCTTCTTTTCTGCTACGCCATATATTTATAAATTCCTCTTGCTTCTCTGTTTCAATCGTCCAAAGTTCGAAGGTCCAATGTTAGCATGTCATCTGTTAATAAGCTTTAACAAGTTAAACTCATCTATGTCAACTTCAGTCAACAGAAGTGGCTTGTCTCTTTGCAACTTTTTTTGTTTTTTTTTTGGAAAAACCAAAATATCTAGCAAAGAGCGTACTATGCCTTGAAGAAAACAAAAATATGACAGTAAAAAGATGTTTAATACCTCAGTGATGAATTGAAATTGCTAACAAAAATATGAAGTGATATGCTGGATATGAATGTTTCCTGACTTTAGATCATAAACCAGGCTTGTATGCTTGCTTAGTTCGAGATGTCCGGTATGTCTCGATACAAACTTTTCCATCCAACTTATTAATTTTGTAATTTACATTACAGAACACAGCACTCTGTATGACCGGATTAATATGGATGCGTTATAGTTTCTCCATTCGACCAATTAATTACAATTTAGCGAGTGTTAATTTTTTTGTCAGTACTATTGGCTTATACCAATTATCGAGGAAATTTAAATATGATGTCTGTTTTTCAATTAGCCGGACTTTTTTTCTATAAAAAAGTGATGCACGTGGTTATGTAATGTAGACTGAAGAATAGATAGATTTTCAAATAAAATTTGGTTTAAATTAATTTTAAATTTAATTCATTATTTTTTAACTTGGTTTTAAATTTAATTAATGAACTTTTTCTAATTTTTATAAGTTCAAAAAAACAAAAGGCCAGAAAAAATCATGATTAATGTTACTGTAATCATTGTAATCATCAATGTTTTTATGATATTCGCTCTAATGCCATTCGATATTATCACAGAAAAGTTGCCCTGATTTTTTTTTCTTTTAAATAAAATATCCATTCTATTAATTTTGCTTTAAGTATTTCAGATGTCGCAGAAACAATTACCAGGACAAATTCAATCACAGTGTACCGATTAAATACAAAATAGAGAGATAGTGTGCTTCAATAGGATACATTACCGCATAATGTGCTTCAACAGGGAACGTCACGTCATTACCGCATAGCAGTTATTGTATATAAATTTTAATATTTGAGATATTTAATATTTGGATATTTCTTGATTTTTTTTCCAATTTTTATGTTTAATCTATTAATGACCGGTGAAAAAAGAGAGACAGGTTTAGATGTCACAATTGATTTAAATCTATTTTACTGATCTCTGTCTTACATCATTAACATTTCTATCGTTAACCATATTTTCAAATATGGAACTTCTTTATTGTGACCAATATATAGCTTGAAAAAATTTTGAAACTATTTCCATTACTTCCTTTCTTGGCCATCCATCTTCACTAATAAATTATCCAGTCTTCTAGCTTTATTTATTTCTTGGCTATTTATCTTCATTGACAACATATTATCCAATCTTCATTTGAAAATCTGTTGAATGTTTTCAAAGAGAATGAGAAAATAAATGGGAATAAATGGCACAGTTTCCTATCATTAATTTTTTCAATTATTTTTGATTTTTCATTTCCTCGCAAAATTAATATTGCGTTCTTTTCTTTTTCAAAAAGAAAAGAAAAAAAAGACCAAATTTCAATTAGTCCAAAGTCGAGAACTGTAAATGTTTGGTGATAAGTCATATGAAAGATTAAAAATGAATGTTAAAAAGGAAAACAAATTCACAACCTTGCAAAGTTTTTTTTTTTAATCGCGCTTTAAATCTTTGATTTAAATTCGAGAATTTTTTTAAATTCTAAAATCTTTTTTTCAGATTTTTTACTTTATTTCAGGTAATTCCTGTTATTATTTTCTCATCTCCTTTTTTTTGTTAGTCATAGCTTTTGCTTACATTGTAATTTTCATTTTTAAAAGCGAAATTTCAATTTTTCTATATGTTTGTTTAATTGTTATGCATCGAAGTTTGTCCTTTTCATATTTACTTCGCAACATTATTGTTTTCTTTTTCACTTTAATACCCTACAAATCTACCTGTTGTTTCAGGTTGTTGAACCTATAAACTTATCATTTCCGGTTATAAAACTGAAATTAGCTGTTAGTATTTGTAAATGATGCAATTATTTATGCAGCTCGTTTACTCTTTTTTGCTCTTTTTTCTTCATTTTCGTACCTAAACATGTAGAAATGTGCATTAGAGAATTGTTCCGATTCCGATTCCGATTCCGGTTTTGTCTAACTTCATTTCATTCTCTTCGTATTTGCTTATAAATTCATACTTAATTTATATTAAAATGAAATTTTTGTAGTTTTCTTGTGTATTAATTCGAAAGTAAAGGAGAAATTCGTTTAACGCTAAAAGACCGAAAACTTTCGTTCATTTTCGGTTTGAATTAAATATTTGTCAATTCTATATACATGGAAAAAACTCTAAGAAGAAAGTTAAAGTAACTGGATGATTGCTTGAATCAAAGCCAAAATAGCCTGATTCTGTGCACCAACCACCAGAAACATTTGCTCTATTAACATCTTTAACTTTATTATTTAAATCAAAGGTTTAGCCTGAAATATGATATTTTTTTCCATTAGCCAAACAATTTATATGTCTAGTTAATTAACTTAGTCCCAATTATTCTTCAGTGGCTTAGTGAATAAATAGTGTAGAGTTTGTCAACTAATTAAACTGTAATAAATTTCATCTTAGTGAAACATTATTTCATTTGTCTGTTCGTAAATAAAAGTAGACGTACAAAAAGCCAAATGATGTCATATAACAATTAGAAATTGCTATTGTAATCTTAATTGATTTCAGTCATGATTGAATTGTTGCCACAACATTTAAAAATGAAAATAAAAAAAAAAGCGACAAGTTTGTTGGTCCAAAGTTGACATTTAGTTTAACAAATATGGTTATTTCTAATTAAGATTAATTTTCGATTATTACCTTCATTGATATTTGATCATTATCTTACTTAATGATTGCATTTATCAAACATACTGTAACACAGAGAATGATTTGACAATATTTAACCTGAACAGGCTTCGCTTTCATAAACAATGGTCTCTTCATCATTTACCTATTCATTACATTAATAACAAAAAGTGTTTAGCGTTTAAAAATCTCTTTCCCCTTAGTTATTTATTGTTTTAAATTTACTTTTGCAAAGTGAGATGAGATGTTTGGTTAGTTATATCTGTTGCTACTTTATCTGACAATTTGCACATCGAGGATGACTTAAAATTAAAAACAAACAAAATTCGCCGTTCCACCGAAATTTGCCTTTAATTTTCTGATAGCAAATACTAATGTACTTTACCGCGACCTCTCATCGATCATTCTCTCTCCTTCTTCTCTTTTATGTCTTCCAATAGAATTTTTGCTTAAATTCTTATTTCTTTTTCGAGTTTTCCCTTCTCAGGAATGATTTCACCATCTTTTTCAAATCAATCGTCTCCACTTCTTCTGTCATCAAAAAGAAATGACATGAAAGAAATGATAATGGCTTTGGGCGGTAAACAAATATGCAAATTCCAGCTCAACTCATGAATCTGATACATAAATTTCTGGACTGAGTCTGTTATATATATTTTATCAATTTTCTTGGACACTTTTTCATCAAGGTGTAATTTCGTCTTGATTCCTTACCTTCCGGTCCCTTCCCATTGTTCCTGTCTCATATTCACTTTCCTTTCCACAGAACGTACTTTATCATCGTACAGTGATAATGTAAAGCAAGAGAGAGAGGGAAAGATAGAAGAGAGAGGGAAAGATAGAAGGAAAGCTATGATAATTTTTGATAATTTTTGACTGTAATAATTATCAATTTGAATAGTTTAAATAACTTCAGAACAAGATAATTTTGAAATTCAGATTTTTTTTTCGCTTTTTTTTTTGGATAGAAAATGTGAGAGGACAACTTATAACGTTTAAATTAATGAAAGGAAAGTTTCTCTAGACTATGATATCCTTTGCCAATTAATATTTCTTTCATTATTAGCTGACTTTATGTCATCCATTATCAAGAGATCTAATCCATTCCCAAACAATCATTCCTATTATCACAAATGAACTAAACATCATTAGAACATTGTTTATATTATTAATTTTCCATCTTTCATCAAGTCCCATTCAAATAATTCTTGTCCATAATTAATGTGTCAAAAGTACTCAAATTTCACTAAATTGATTGATTTTACTTTATTTTACCTACCGAAATTACCGAAATTTTTTAATTTTCAATCCAATCATTTTTCATATATTTTATTTTTCCATCTTAACATTGAAGAATTCAATTAGAACTTTAAAATTCTTCATCTATAAATAATTAAAGAAAAGTATCGAAATTTTTGCAAAGAATTATAAAAGTAAAATTAAAAATCTGGTAAACATTTTAATGATTGACCACTGTTAGTGCAAGATTCATAGTTGGGGATTTTCAACTTTCAAACTTTGAAAACTATTCTATCTAAAGCATTTCCTCTAGACTTTAGATCAGATGGCTATTCCAGAATTGGACAAAGATCTAAACTAAAACCTTAGGATAAATCCACTAATATACGATTCCTTTTTAACGATAAGAGCTAACAAACCGGAAAAAGAAGCAAAGATCACTTGTTGAATTTTGTTAATATGTCATGACATAAACTAACTAACCTAAGATTATATACTAGTATAGAAAAGTATTATAAATCGATTTTATCTTTCAAATTACCAAGTATACTGTCTTATACTTTAACTTCCACTTGTCAATTATAAACTGAAATGAATTATAGTTATTATTGAATGTTACTTACCAATTACCTGACAACAAATTAAATTTCATCTTCTAATTTTGCTCAAAAATTTCTACCCATCATCATTTCATGTTGTTCATTTGTCATACTTTCATCTCAAGTTTTCTTTTTCTGGCGCAGTTCCATTCGTAAATTCCTGTTATTTTCATCTTTTCTATGATTTACTTCTCTTTTTTTTTTTAAAAGAAACTAAAAACTGAAACTGTTGGCTTCTAAATGATATTTAATGCTATAGCTACCCATTGCGTCACTAATGATCTCCCAATTTTATGACACTCTTTGTCGATTCTTATCATTCACATTAAATTATTAATATATTTATTGAAAAGGAGAAACCTTTCTATACTTGAAGCTATGTCCTGCATATGTGATCCACTTTGTAAAGCTGCTGATAAGGCAAGTATACTTCCCCATTCTAAAAGTATAATTTTATTTCAAAATTTCCTGTTCAAAACTCGAAATTTTAAAAGTTCAAAAAAGTAATATCTTGCTATCTTAACATAACGTAATGAAGATCGAGTGGATTAGCATTTCAGAATATTATATCTTATAACACCGCCAAAAATCAGTAATAATATTAAAAATTATCAATATTTCTATTTCAAATATTTTACATATCTCATTATTTTTAGCAGGTAATTGTTTGATTACTTAATCAATATATTGCAGATAATTTACCCGATTCTACCCGAATTCTTGAAAAAAACTTGGGATCATCCTGCGGGTCCCAAAACAGTATTTTTTTGGGGACCAACAATAAAGTGGTGTCTAGTATTGGCTGGTTTGGTTGATGTATTGCGACCAGCCGAAAAACTTAGCTTTTTTCAGGTAAGCATTTAGTCAATTTTTATGTCACCTAAAGTAATGGGAATAGTAGCAAATAACAACACTTCAGGCCTATCAAAACATCGATTAAATCCTTTTCCGTTTTAATTTTTCTAATATTCGAACACTAATTTAGATTCTCAAACATATTTCAATTTGAAAAAAGAAAAAAAAGGAAGAAACATATAATTTACATTTAAAGAATGTGGCGCTTTTTTTTACGGGAGGAATTTGGACACGTTATAGCTTTGCTATCACACCTGTCAACTATAATCTAGCAAGCGTCAACATGTTTCTCTGCGGAGTCGCCCTTTTTCAGTTAGCTAGGCTAGGCTATTACGAGGTTCGTTGCTTCATTATATTTGCTTAGTGTTAATTGAAACTAAATATACGGTAGTAAATAAGAATTGGTAATAAACCAAAGTAATACTTTACTTACACATGCGTTTTACTGCCCGGTAGGATGCTATTTACTGAAGCTAGACAGTTATGGTTCTATATTACTTTTATATTCCTCGTTAATTCCATTCCCTACTGTAAAGCTTACTTTATGAAGCATTTTTAGCATGTAACTAAAAATATTTAAATATCTCCCGATTCATTCTCCATTTTCTCATCGTTGCTTTATTTCAGGCATTTATAAGCTCTTCTGTGAATGCTACGGCAGTGAACATGACCAGCACTTAATCTCATCAATCATGCCCAGGTTCAGGCTCAGGCTCATTCTGAGATCAATCGTAGAAAGTATCAAATCAAAATGTTTGTATTTGTGTAGAACAGGATGTGAATTTAATTCATTCATTGTTTATTTTTGTATCCGACAAAGTCTTGCATGTATCAGATAAAATCTGTATATCACATTAAAATTTCAGTTTAAACTTCAATTTCTTGGTTCTAATTTAGAACATTCTTCTCATTTATGCGAATGAGATATATAATAAAAAGATGACATCTTAACAAACGTCATTCCAGCACTCGGAATTCCGAAACGAAAATTTTCCCTGTCCAATGATACAGCAGTACAATACTCTAAGGATGCTCTGAAATAATTCGAAAAGTTAATCTACTCAAAAAATTCCACCTTCTTTGCCATTCTTCAACCTATACTGAAAACTTAGAGATTTCAGATCGGAACCGGCAGGAATATTAGTAAATTGAAAAGTTGCAGTTTCACCCCGCCATGTTCATTTCACCGAGATAAACTCACCGTCGATCGTTTCTCCCGATGTCCCTCACTCCCACATATCACTTAAATTTCTCCACTGAAAGCCCGCTGGGTTGGTATCCAAATTGCGAGAGAGTTCCTTAGACAGGTGTATTATTACAATCATTCGTATGTGTCGCTTTTGTCGTTATATTTATAACTAGCATATATTTCACGTTTCTAACGTCACTGCGTCATGTTCATACGTCACTGCGTCATGTTCATACGTCACTGCGTCATGTTCATACGTCACTGCGTCACGTTTATTCATCACTTTGACCGTATATCATCTCATTTTTTCCCACATTTCTTCATATAAACAGCGCATGACTGTTTCATCAATAGTACAATGTTTTAATAAATAAATGGTATAGCTCGTTTTACTGCTCATTAATTAAAATGATCGTTCCTTTGAGGGATGAATCTTCAAACGTCTAAGAAGGTATATTGTGTTAACGTAACGTGATGAACTTTTAATTAATGATATACCAAAAATGTACTGAAGCGAGGCGAAAGTTTTAATACTAATATTTCAAATGTTTCAATTTTTGCAATAAATTTGCAAATATTTTCGTACGATGTTTTGTACACGTCCATGGATATAACCTTATCTTCATATTGAAATATCTCTCAGGAAGAGCCGAAGGGCGTGAAATGGCGGGACTTCGATGCCAGTAAATTAATTTGTTGTTTTAATTACACGACTTCGATTTCCCGTTATTCAAGAGATGAGTGACCACACCGATACTAAAGGATTGTCTTCGGCGCTTCTGCAAATGAAGGTTTGTTGGCTGTTTAGAAATTTCTGTGAATGAAAATAGATGCTTGTTGTGTGGCGCATATTTATTTTCTTATAATTGCTCGACCATTTTGTTAAGTATTATCTTAATTCTTATTATAAGAAGCAGAGGCACATGCAACAGCTTACCCTGTTTTTTTTAAGGCATAGATAAGCACCCGTATGGCTATGTCGTTAAAAATGTTTGCGGCATATTTCTAGTTTAAAGGTTTCAAGTTCAACTTCAATTTAAGAGGAATCTATGAAATTGAATTTGGATCTTTGTATCTTCCCCTGATTTCTTTGTCCCTTTCCCTCTCTTTTCTTTCACTATTAATTGCATTTATAACTTATGTACGGGAAGTAACTCCAAATAATATTCATCGTTTCTGTGGAGGACAGTGATAAGTTTTATTTACAAATATTTATTTATAATTATTTATTTATTTGTAGTTATGTAAAGGACAATGACTATGAATTCTATTTATAGTTTATGCAAAGGACAAGAATTCGCTTAGAGGAAGAAGCTAAGAGAAAAAGTGAACAGAAATTGCAGAAACGTTTTTTAAAAAAGGATAATAAAGAACTATCGGAAGAGTTAGAAGGAACAGAACCGTAAGTTAATTCCGAAATTAAACTTTATATTTATGAAATTATCACATCTTCATGTTGCTTCTAGAACAATATGTTTTTCAACGTTACTGCAATTTTTCAGTATTTGTGATTTCTATGTCATTATCAGAGAATTTCCCGTAGAACACTGATATGCATTAGCTCTCTAAGTCTTTAAGCTATTTTAATTTTCAATGTAAAATAACTAAAAATCTGTTTTTTTTCTCTGGGCTCACGTCTCTTTTACGGAAAAATTGCTTAATTTTCATTTTAGAACCGTGAAATCTGAAAACAGATATGACTTGTTGGAAAACCTTTCATTTGGACGGATGTCTTTTAAAGGTTTCAATCCGGAAGTTGAGGTAATTTTTCCAACGGACAGGAAACTTTAAATTTTTCACGCTATATAAAATAAAAACGTTTTGATTGAAGATTTTCGAAATTACATTTCAGAAAATGTTTTTTGACGTTTGCTGGAATGTAACCCTTTTTTTAAAATTTGTGCCAGTTTTTATTTTGCTGTAAATTAACGGAAATAATGAATGCATATAGTTTTCTTTGTTTCCAGAAGCTTATGAAATATTATAAAGATTTGAAAGGTGGCAAAGTGTCTGATGAAGTCGACTTTAATGATGGACAGGATATTACGGATTACGAATTAGCAACATCAGTGTATGTTGAGTTTTAGTCATATACATATGATAATTCCTCGATCATATTCGTTTCCACGCTTAATAAGATTTTGGACTTCAGGTTCAGCACAAAAACAAAAGGAGATGGAAAATGTCTAAAGAAGCATGAAGTGAATCTTCGCTTAGTTTGTATCCGTCCTTTTTTTTTTTTCACTGGAATTCCTTAATATACGCTTTTCTACATACCTCTTAGTTTCATCAACTGTTCGAGTGTCTTGATAAACAAATGACCTATTTTTGGAGTCAAAGTCGCAGAAATTTTTTTTTCATAATAATAGAACCTATCAGCACAAGTTCAGGTAGCGGATTGACATGCAAATAGTCCGTATAGTATTTTATGCTCTCTGGGAGAATTAAAAACCGGTAACAAATTTTCCTTTAAGATGGATGGAAGAAGTTTAATTGATGAAATTAACGAACCCGCAAAGCGGAAACGGCGAGACGATGGACATCGACCTGAATCTGGAATCCGAAAAAGACAGCAGTTATGATCTCATTTAATACTCAGTTTTTATTATTACATTGTGTACGGTGTTCCTTCATCGAGTTACACTATTTTGATTATTCTTATGTTCTGCCAATTCAAAATAAAATAATAAAAAAAACTGTAAAACTGAAATACAGACATCCATAAATTTAAAAGTAAAGTGTGGAAGCAATTCAGGATATTCTGCATCCCAGAATATTACCTTACCCTGCTTAGTAAATTGTTCCTTCCCACAGACTGCAAAGGAAACTTTGAGAAAAGATGACGATCAGTCACGAATAAATACAGAAGTGCAAGTTGCACATGCAAATCTTTTATGCAAGCATTAAAGCATAAGCAAATAAAAGCGTTTGTTGGCGTTATTTGACGTAGTTGGCACAATTTTTATCAAAATATTTTCAGATCTTTAGAATTCATCTACAATTTTAAATATTCCTTGTTACGGAAAATGATTTTTATTTACATTTACAAGTGCCAAATAATTAGTTATATTATAGATTGCTTAGGATTGCATATACAGTTGCAAGTACTACTGGAAATGTACGGAAATTTGCAAGAAGAATGCAAAAAACTTTGATTAATTTGCTGGAACAAGAAATAGTCTTGGACTAATTTTAACTGAAATTTGCTTGAATTTCAAAAATTTTTGGGGTCAATTTCACTTGGATCACTAATTGATTAATTAAATGTGCTTGAGTTTGAAGGAACGAACTTCAAAATAATATAAAATTTGAAGGAGCAAGCATTAAATGTCTGATTGATAGCCATAAATTGAGCATTACAACAAATTGTTTGCTTTTCTACTCTTTCCGATCATCAACATTTTATTATCGAGAATACAACACTTCTCTCCTCAGCTCTATTCATTTCACTAATTGGCAACCATAATTTGGTCTTTTTTTCTTCCAAATAAATGACTCACAATATTTGTAATGAAACGACAACAGTAAAGTATTACGGAACTATTCGAATTTTAATTTAAATTTTAATTGTATGCATAAATTTATTTTTTATCAATTTGTTCTTGTTGTTTGTAATAGCAAAAACAACTCTTTTTGTGAATTTTAAATCATAAATTTTCAATTAATAAATTGGCTACAATTAATTAGAAATTTGAATTAGAAATAAACTTAAGCAAACACTTTTTGTTATGCAAATCATATTTTGCTTATTATCGTCTATCTGTGGAATAAACAAACTGGATGTAAAACTTAAGCCAATCGTCATACCTGGCTAGAACATATTCATTAAAGGATCGGAAATGAAAGGAACTGAATTACATTTTTCATTTTTCATTTGGATTGATTTTTTTTTAGAACACAGAAGTGATATTATCCAGTTTATTTTGTTCATTTATTCCTTCAATGATAGGCTCTTATTCATTAAAATTAATTGTAGCGACATCTATTGTAATCATTGCTTATGCTATTTATGCAATTAAGAAAAACTTTGGCGTTTCTTATTCAGTGAGTCCTTTTCTTTTTTTTCTTGAAATATGATTCCAAAAAACTTTGTATTAAAGTTTTTTTTTTCAATAAGCCTTATCTTGGTGAGTTCAAAGTGTGTAAACATGATAAAATGATAATCGATAATTTAAATTTAATTCATTCTCCTTATATTAAGCTGATTTAAATCAAAATTTTTAGCAAAACATAGCTACCGATGGATGGTTTGGTCGTGGAGAGAAGCGGATAGACGATGAGCACATTATCCCTTTTAAAGTTAACGTTTCCAAGGAAGCCATAGAGATAAGTTTCTTTTTTTTTTTCATTAATATCTTCACCTGAAATTGATGATTCATGCATAGACTAACATGAAATGATATTTTCACTGTTTCAGTTAATTCCTTTGATATAAGTTTGAAAATGAGATTGAATTAAAGGATTTGAAATTTCGTTTGAAAAATTGGCGAATTAGTTATGAACCATTAGAGGATTGTAATGATTTCTCATATGGTTTCAACGGTAAATATCTTAAATATGTGGCTAATTACTGGCTCAATAAATACAATTGGAAATATCATGAAGCTATTATAAACATTTTACCTCAATTTATTACTGAAATTGAAGGCCTTAAGGTAAGTTTTTCCGGATTATTCAGCTTTTCATTGCACCTTTTCCTTCTCTCTTATCACTTCCTATCACTTGAACATTTATTTGTTTATTTAGCTTTTAAATGAATTAAGTCACTTAATTGTTGGCGGCAGGGCAAAGTTTGAGACAAATATAATTTTGGTATTTAATCTGTACAGATCCATTTCATCCATGCTAAACCGAGATATGATAATTATGAAGTTATCCTCCCATTGTTAATACTACATGGCTGGCCAGGAAATGTATTCGAGTTCTTTAAAATCATTCCGGTGCTGCTGGATCCAATTCAGCAGATTGGTTCTGATATTAATGTAGCTTTCGAAGTGATTGCACCATCGATTCCTGGATTCGGTTGGTCAGCTGCGCCAATGAAAAAAGGTAAAATGGAAAGCTTGTCTAGCAAGGTTACTTTCATTTTTTTTAATTATTATTCTCACTATTATTGAAGTGAAAAAGTACATAGGTTTTTTAAATTGAGTAAACTTATCCAAATATTTTTGTCCCTTAACAGTGTTATTAAAATACTATAATGTCCGTAGGCATTATATGCAAATTCAAAATTCAATCTAATTAGACTTACATATCTCGTGCTATTTGTTAACACTTCATTTCCAATTAATAAGTCTCTCATAAATGACAGAATAAATTTTGTCGACGGGAAGATTTTAAGTTTTTATTTTCAAATCATCCGTTTTCCTCTAATCTATAATACCTTCAAACAAGTTTTGCAAATCCTAGTAGAATTAGACATTATTTCACTTTTGTCAACAATAAATTTCAAAATTTGCAGGATTTAATCCAGAAGCGGCAGCAAGAATATTCAACAAATTGATGGTTCGTTTAGGTTTCTCAAGGTATCTACTGCAGGGCGGGGATTGGGGGAGCAATATTGCTACTAAAATCGCCTTTTATTATCCTGAAAAGTCGGTCTTCCTTCCTTTTTCTGTTTTTTTTGTGTTTTCATAAAAGAAAGGTTTGAGTGCAACAAATATGCTATTACTTTTTCATTTTCCATATGTTGTAGGGTAATTCTCAATCTTTATTGATACTTACTAGATCAGCCTTAAATTAAATCAAATCTAAGCTAAACACTTCAATATGTAGTTCCGATTTCACTTCCTCTCCTCCTATTGAATCTTAAAACTTGTTTCAAACTTCAAAATCGTACCATAATTATTTCGATGCAACATTGTAGTATTATTGGTTTACATTTAAACTTGGCAATGGTATTTAATTGGAAAGCGCTATTGTACCGAACATTTGGTATCATAGCACCGAGATTAGCTTATTCTTCCAAATTATTTCATTCGAAAACTACAAGCGCTTTCTTCAAGGAAGTGCTTGAAGAAACAGGATATATGCACATTCAGGCGACAAAACCGGATACTATTGGTGATGATTTCGGATTTCTTAATTTTAATTAATAATTGCATACAATTTCTTTTGCAGTACGATGCTTGAATTTAATTACAAAAGCTTGAAAATATGCAAGTAGTCTTATTCAAATTACTTGGGAAGTCCAATGAAATTAGATTGGACAAAGATTTTAGATTATAATTAGTTTTTTCCACCGCAATTTCTGAAATTGTCGTGTTTCTTCAATGTTTTAGGTGTAGCACTTAATGATTCTCCAATAGGTTTGGCAGCTTATATTCTCGAAAAGTTTTCGACCGGAACAAATATCACTTATCGGTCATTTCATGACGGTGGACTCACAAAGTAATTAATTTTGCCGAAAAATCTGAAAAATTTTAGAGGACAAAAGGAATGTAGAATTTTTGGAAGTTTTCCAACGATGATTTTTTCATTTTTAAGAAATATAAAAATCTACAATTTCTACATGTTGTGTTTATTTCTTCAGGAAGTTTACATTGGATGAGCTGCTGACCATAGTGTCCATTTATTGGTTCAATGGTAATATAATAAATGCCATAAGATTTTACAAGGAAGCATACCAAAGTCCACTCAGGTTTCATCAAGTCACGTAAGTTGACTCCTCTTACTCCATCTTGAATTGAACGTTATCTACCAGATTGTAAGTCTAAATTAGTTTTGATGCTAAATGATTACTGAAGGTTATTAGTTAGCTAAAATTTCGCATGATCAATTATATGACTAAACTTCAGAACCATGTAAATTTTACAAATCAAATAAGTTGACCAATTGAATGACCAAACTCTTGTGCTATATAAATTTTGCAATTCAAATAAATTAATTCTTGTTGATAGTAATCTTAATGAAAAGAACAAATCTGATTGTATATGTTGTTAAATTATCATCTTATTATTTTAAAGTCAGTACATTACTGTTCCAACCGGCTACGCAGCATTTCCGGAAGATGGATTTGTGCAACCAAAAGAGGTAATGCATATCATGTACAACCTGATAAGTTATACAGAAATCAAAACTGGTGGACATTTTGCCGCTTTTGAAGACCGAAACTTCTTGCTGATGACATTATCAAATTCGTTAAAACAATTCAGCTAGAGTGATATTCTTTGCAAATGTCAACAAATAAGAGTTGAAATTTTGGATATCACTAATATTACTGTATAACTATCCTGACTTACTGTAATTACAATTTGCTTCAGTCATAATTGTAACTGAATATATCTGATGACTGTAAATCATCATAATTATCTGTGATATTTTCTCACATATTCTCATTTCTTTTGATGGAATTAAAAAAAGGAATCAATCGAAATTAACATTTGTTGTCATTTTAGAAGATCACCTTACATTGCCGATGCATACTTTACCTGTAATTATCATAGTTAATTATAATTGTTTTGCATAGGTATGCAAAATGAAATAATGGATCATGTACAGTGTACAAATTGCTTTAACCTTATGATGGAATTTTAAGGTGAGATATAAATTTGAAGTTAAACTTATTTATCGCCTATCTCCTCTGCATATTATCTTCTATTTCATTAATATCATTGCTTAAGTTAAAATGAGTCAATCTCAACAGGGTCTTCTTTCCTCGATGTGTTTGCCAAACCTATTCTCTTGGCTGTGGCTTTGATAGATAGCAGATAGAGACAGCAAGAATCTCGTTAATCCATTTGAGGATGTGTGACCTGACGTGACCCCATTGACGCTAACTGCTGGCGTAAGGGTTTTTGATAAATGTAGATATATAGATGGAAATGTGCATATAAGTGAAATAAACATTATTATAGTGAGTGCTAAGAAAAAATTGTATTAAGAAAAAGAAAAGTTATAGATTACTGCATCACACATTCGTATAAAAGGAAAAAAGAGTACTGTAATTTTTGAGATAGGTGTTGATATTGCTAGAATAAAACAACTTTAAAATGATGGAAAATCATGAAAGTAGAAATGAGCCTACAAGTTTTAAACAAAAGAATGACCTCGAGATAATGTTTACCGAGCAAAATTCAGAAATCGAAGCTTCCATCACTACTTTACACTTACGATAATCTACCATTCAGTTTTCTACGATTAAATTAATGTGTACTGTAGCTTTCTAATTTTATATCAGAGACTATATTGTATCACAAAATAATAGCAATATTATCCCGATAGCTGTTATCAGTTCTACCTTCAGTCCTTATAATATCTTTGGGATTTCTTCAAGATAAATTAGGCATAAAATAAAAATTTATATGAAATATTAGAAAAAATTAAGGACAGCCTAAATACATATGAAAGAAAATATGTAAATAAAAGTGAAATTGAGTTTCACTTGAGATGTACTCCTTGTAATTCGATATCACCATCAATGGAAAGCTTATCGATATCTCGGGGTGACATTCGATGTGTAAATGAACACACAAGGCAATCATCAACGTGACACTGTAATCATTCAAATCAAAAAAAAAAAATATTAAACTCTTCATATAAGTAAATAAAAGTCAAAAGTCAAACTGGACTGAGAACGCTTTGTTTTAAAAAAAGAGATGAACTAACAAGAAATCGATTTTCTTCACAGTAAAATAATAAGTCAAAAGCTCGCTTCTTTTTAAACGGAAATGGAATCTCGAGCTCCTTTTCTTCCGTTCCCCATCGTTCTTCAGATCGAGTATTCCGAATTAGTTTCTGAAAACTTTCTCCAATTTCCGTTTTTTCGTCAATTCATAACGTTTGGTGTAATTGACAAATAGAGCATTTAAAGTTATTAGTGACATAATGATAATACAGATTGATTCGTTTTTGCATGGATTAGTTTTCAGATAATTTAAGATTTTCCTTTCTTGTCATGTTTTTGTATGATTTGATAAGGATTCGAACTACCATTAGTTGAGTGAAAACTGATATAATCGTCAAATGAGAACTTACTTTTTCGGCAATTCGTGGATTAAATCTGAATGCTATATCGTTACCAGAATGAAAATCCACCATAAACTGTTTGGTTCGTTTTTTAACAAGTCCTGATACGTAAAGCTTTCGTCCTGGATAAAAGTTTCCCGGGATATCTGCTGTGTAGGGAATTTGCTGTAATCGTGTTGACGGTAAGTTAAAAAAAAAGAAAAAAAGAAAAAATCAATCGAAATGTTACGGTCAGGAAAAATACAACTGTATCAACTGCATTTGTAAAGAAAGCTTTTAATCCAGCTGATCCAATTTGGCTTTGCTTTTAAAATGTTCAATTTTCCATATCAGTCTAATTTCAAGATTGAGACGGAGTGGACGACTGAAAAATCGCAAATTGTGAATGATGCGAACATACGGCAAAACCATCGTAAATTTTCATCAGAATCGAACTATTCATTGTACTTACGTAATATTTGCCTTCCCATGAGACTGTGTACAGTTCGGCATCACCATTCATATAGATGTGCGAAATATTTGAAATTGGCACATAATATGCAAATTTGGCCAGTAATTTATGATCAATGAATATCTGAAATTACATCAAATCATTTTTTATTAAAGCATAAGAATGTTCTTGGATACATTAAATGGCAGGTATTGAAAGCAAAACAGTAAAATTTGAAGGAAATTATTTGTCAGAAATTACTTAAAATATTTAATTGGCGATTAGTCCTTCTTTTTTTCTTGTAAATAGTTTCAAAAATTTGCGAAATTTAACCTCAAAGTGTTTGTCATGACATCTAATTCGTATATCAAATTCATCACCAGGTGTCCATTTATGCTTCACTGAACCTTCTCTAAAGATTTTTTTATTAGTAATTTATTATCAGCAAAAATTTGAGCAGTACGTACAGTCTTTTCACATTTGTTAAAATTTGCAGAAAAAGCTAACCTCCCCCATTCGCCATCGATGCAAGCATTCAAATAAATTCTTTTTAGAGCAATATTTGCTCGAATAGCAAGAAGTCGGTTGTCGAGAATATCATTCTCATCCTCCTTTTCCACCTTTCCACCATTTGTGAGGTTTATAATAAACTCATTACGTCCTTAAGTTTCATTCTAATTACATTTGAAATTTCCAAATCTAACTTTTTTATATAATATGCAAAATTTCCTTAGACATAAATGCAATTTGGTTTGATTCATCAAGCTGGGAAAGTTTGTATCATATAGTCATTCAGAATTTTATGGTACATTAACTGCAACACATCCGCACTTTCACTTTCAAAATTGCACATTAAAATGTCTCCAAACTGGTTTTTCTATCTTCTCAACTTTCTGGCACACTTATTTCACTATAATTTTATTAATTCATTGTTTCAGACTGATCGACAGGTTTAAACGAAACTATTGATACACTTTATTGCTTCAGAATATTTTAAAATGTGGAAGATTTATTTATCCATAAAATAAACCAATGATATATCCTCGAACAATCAATGATTGACCCGGCTGTAACTGATTGCCTTCCAGTTTCGACAAGTACGGCACTGGCTGCAATGTTTCATCTGTTATTGATAATATTTCAAATTGTTTTGAATCAATCATATCAATAGCACATTCTTTGCTATTATCTATCAACAATGAGAACTATACACTAATTCCATTTTTCAAACATTGAAAAGTTAACTTACAAAGCTGCTATTCCGCCCAGTAATGGAATTTTTCTGTGTAGCTCTTTTTGTTTCATTTTTGAATAATTTTCTCAAAATTGATGACATCGATATGACAAGTTATTGGTCGAAGGAATACATAAACAGACACATACACACACACACACACATGTACACATAGACACATACACTACTGCTTAGAAACTGGACTGATCTGTTTCGTTGAATTCGAGCTAAATCAAATCACTAGCATTCACAGTGAGTATCTGCAAATAGAGAATATGGAAATTTTTAGATGTTAAAATCATTTTTAAACGAATAAATTATTTGATAAGAATTGAATGAATCGTGGGTATTATTCTGTAGAGTGAAATTATTCATAACTTGATCGTAGTGAGATTTTATTAAATAACAATAACAAAAAAAGTGAAACTTCAGGTTAGCAGTTAATAAATTTGCTAATTCACTACATTTTCTTTATTGTATAAATGATTGTAAATTCTATTCTTTCTATTTTAAAGTTACAAATTTTTCAAATTTAATCTTTAAAATGCTTATAGAAGGACTGTAGTTACAAAAGTAAAATAATAACAAAAAAAGCAGAAGATTGGTTGGTTATAAAAGAGAAAATATACACAGCAAACGGGGCATTGGAATTGATTTTAGCGTAGCAGCGAAGAAACACAATAATAAATTCTGGTCGCAAATCAAATTCACTGTATAACAAGTGAATCTGTCTCCCGATAGAACACTTCAATGTCTCTTCTCAACGGGACAAATGACAATGGAAGGGTTATGGTGAAAAAGATCAAAATATTTCTATTACACTGTCTTGAATGAAATTTTTTTAAAATACTGTGAAGAGAAAGGCATCAGAATGGATACTGAAAATATTAGAGAGAATGAAGTACAAGAATATCATGGAACATTTCAGGAAGTATCTCAGTAAATTCAAATATATAATAGTTTTGTTTGAAAACAAAAATGGGTTGATTAATAATCATAATTAATCTAGTTTTGTGATCAATTTAATGAATTTTAGTACTAGAAAAGTAAATTAAAACTAGACTTTTACCGGATGTTAATACATCAAACGATTTTTGGGTAAACAACTTAACGATAAGATGATGAAGAAATAAGTAGTAAAATCAGATTGAATTCCCAACTAATCGGCTTTTAATACAAGATAATGAAAGTTAGATAATGTCATCTATAATAGTAATGACAGCGATTACAACCGACAACAGTAACAATATCAGCACTAATTAGTAATTGTGGTTACTTAAACGAAATTGGAACATCATAAGTATTCATCCGACTGCATTCATTTGCCAGAAATGTAAACAAATGTTTGTATGCCTATATTATCGAGAGAAAAGAGGAAGGGCAGAAATCAAAGTGAAAATTTAGTAAAATTTTACCTTCTCCAAATTAGCAATAACAATCCTTACTCAACCATAAGGTAAATTACGGATGATGGCCTTGTTTTTTTAGTGTTTTGTCGAATAAACCTTTTAATGACGAATGAAAAAC